ATGTAGTATTTCCATTTACATTTTGTGTCAATCCATCAAAAAATTATATTTTGTGTCCTCACAATTAGAAAATGACCAAATTAAAAAATAGAGATATTCTAGTCAAGAATAAGATACAATGAACGTTAATAGTGTGATTTTTGCATCAATTTGATATGCAAAATCTGGACGGTCAAGGAATGCAAATAAGACAAAAAATGCCAATTTTTTATTTAGATAGGGGCAAGGCTCAAAGTATCATATGTATTGCTTTTCAGGGTCACCCGTACCGTAAATAATAAGACTTAAAGGGATTTTAACCGTTTTATATGTTAATAACTGATGTGACATGTCAACGGTCAACTTACCAAAAAGAAAAGGGAGAAGTACCAATCAGCCCAGATCAGAATTTACTAGGCCCAAAGTAGAGGGGGAATGCATCATAACCGTGAATTAATGCCAAATTCACGGGCAGGATGTGGTTTATAGGGGGGGAGAGGGCTAGTAGTAGGGGGGCTGGAATTTAGAATCCTGCATCATGTGTATCCGTACTTANGCTAGTTGTAGGGGGGGCTGGAATTCAGAATTCTGCATCATGTGTTTCTGTACTTTTCCCAAAAGAAAACGTATAAATAAAGTCTAGATGCAAAATTTACACCCGGATTGAATTTACACTACAAACAAAAACAACCTATAGAATAGCTGAATAGGAGTCGAGGCTAAACTGCAACCCTAAAGCAAACTGGCAAAACTATTCCATACATATACCTTGGATTTTGGATGCCTTCTATATATTAGTATTAATACTTATAAAGATATGATAATATATGCAAACATGACATCTATGGTCAGGCTCAAGTTGGGCCGAATCAGCTTGGATCCAATGGCATAAAACCTCGACCCGAAACCAACACAAGTTGTTTGTCTATATCCATCAAAAGAGACAAATTTACTATGAATTTGCCCATTATTCGGTTTTTCAGTCCACATCAACTCTATCTCTGCCTCATCCTTATCTGGAATAATATTGGTATCCTTTATCAGAACCATTTTTCTTTGTGCAAAGCAAAGTTTAAATTGTTTTCTACTGTAAATCTCCCTTAGGAAGCATAAAGGGTGCACAAACTGTTTATGACAGGGTCTGGGGTTTCCTGAATTTCTCTAGAATAAACCAACCCAGGCTTTCATGGATCAACCCAAACCAAATTAGAATACACCCATCCAATTGACTAAGTCTATACTTACTACACCATATATACCTTACGCTCGCAACGATAAATGCATCAATACCATTATTGCCAGGTTCATGGTTCGATAATTTTTTTATTTCTTTTTTGGGTTTGATTCTGAGACTCTCAAATTTGGGAATATTAGTTCACTAGCTAAGTGGGTTTTGGGATGCTTGAAGAATGAATGATGTCATTCTCTGCTAGTTCAATCCCCTGTCGATTCAAATTTTGAATGTTTGTTTCTTCAAAATACATTTACAATGCATTAAAATCAAGGACTAGTTCAGTTCTTTAGATCTCAAAATAGACTTCTATGAGGTCTGAATTATATTAGCTGAACTTCATGGCTGTTCTGGGGCTGTTTGACCAATAAAAACCACTCGGGTATCTGATTTTAAGATTTTACATTGAATTGCAGCCAAGTTGCACCCTAATCCAATCCGAGTCCATCCAAGTTGCATCCTAATCCGGATTTCCTGCTCAAAACTCTTTACCTACCTTGAATTGCAGCCACACATCTCTATCTTGTATTGTGAGATGTGCAACTGTAATGTACCGTGGGTAGGGCCCAAGGGGGTGGGCAGAGATGATGAGTAGGAAATCTGGTCACGTTGCACCCTTACAACCACTTCAATCGCTCACTTTGCATACATGTATGGATGACGTGGAGCATCTCTCACTCTCACTTCGCGTGCATGGCTGATGTAATGAGTCCATTCTAGATGACGGGCTTACATTTCCAAATGCCAAGAAAATAAAAGGGTGTATCATGCAAATATGTAATGATTTCATCCCGGGTGGTTTCTCTCTTCTTTTCATCACATGCATGTTTGTTTGGAAGCGTGGGTGCTTTTTGGATCGATTTTGAAGAAAAAATGTCCATACTTCTAAGACCTATTTTTTAAAAAAAATGCTTCTATCACGTAGGGAGTGAACAACAATATACTGTTTAGTAAGGTGATTTTCATCACCGTTTTTTATGTATGTGCTGACAGGTAAGCACTACATAGGATACACATCAGTCAACCGTTGGAGAAAATAGTTCACCGATGCATGAAACGCCAAGTTTTCGAGACATGCCCGTTTCTTTGAAAAATGGCCACAGTTCCAAACATCCCCATGGTTTTCAAGTGTCTAGCTGATCTACCACACTTCCATCCAGCCTGTGACAAGTGTTCATCACAATGAAATGTGTTTGGTTTAAGGCCCCATTCGCTTTTTGGTAAGTTATTTATCCGGGTAAATGCATTTACCCAGGTAAGTGTTTCCCAAGAAAGATTTACCCGAGTAAATGCATTTACCCATGTTCTTTTATTTCCCATGCAAACAAGACAATGGCCATTTTAGTCATAAAAATCCATTATTACAAGGGGCATTTTTGTCCCATTGAAGTATAGGCAACTTTTTCCCAAGGTGGGAAAGTTATTTACCCACCTAGGAGATGGGTATCACTTTTCTTGGTAAATGATACCCAAGAAAATAAATTTTCCCTAGTCCCCACATAAATCTGAAAAAAGAACATGAGATTCTTGGTCAATGGGAATCAAAATCCCATTGACCAACTTTCCCCCCTCTCAAAATCCGGAAAAAGAACACCCCTAATAGAAATCAAGAGAGAAACCGAAAATTGAGGTAAAGTTCTTAAGACTCTGTTTGGGAAGATTACATATGCCAGTTCAGTGCATATTTACACTCTGGCTGGTTCAATTTTGATAGTATTTGGTAAGACTTGAGAGTGTATTTATGTCTTGAAAAATACAGCAAATACACATTTTAAGACATATTTACACTCAAAATGAGGGAAAAGTTTGCATCCAATGCACTCGAAGTTGATCAATGTTAAAAAAGATATATTTGAATCTCGAGATTTGTGTTTGTACGTATCACAACTAAAATTCATTTGGTAAGAGTACAAAATAATCATTACAAAACCAAACTTTAATTTGTTTATATCCATCTACATATACTAAACTCAGTGCTTTGAGAATTGAGAATGACCATGACCCTAACCTTCCAAAAGGGAAATGGCTTGTGCACCCCAGGAGCACCATTTTTTTTGTCCAAGTGCCTAGCATTTTGGCCATCTCAAGCATGTCTATAAGAGCTATTTTTCTGCTGCGAGTGAATCCCAAATCAAGTTTCGAATGGTTTAAAGTGCTGGGACCAGGCTAGAAATGATGGTCTGGGACTGGTTTAATTAGTATTAGTTCCTTCCAAAACTAGCATGTCCCGGACTCTTCATTCTTTTGCCAACAAACCACACATTTAGGGGTGTCAATTGGACTGGATTTGGTCCAATCCGATACAGACCAATGTGAATCCATTACAAATAGACCAGGTCCAATCCAATCCAATGAATGTTTAGGACCATATTTTACCAGTTCAATTCAATGTCTGGACTGTCCCATCTGTTCAAATCCATTTTAATTTAGGTTGGTTTTAACCCAAACCTGGTCCATTGACACCTATATTCTTATCTTATATCAATGGATCAGATATTGGCTTAATCCAACTGAATCCAATATAAATTTATTGGGGACGGACCAGGTTCAATCCAATCTAATAAATATTTTAGACTGAATTGGTCCAATCCAATATGCCTTGTTGGTCTGTCCAATCCAGTCCAAAACCGGTGCATTGACACCCTTACACACATTGAGTATGGACCAAAACCAACCCAGTAGTTGGGGTAAGGTGTCCTCATGCATAGAAAGGTGGAGTCTCACCCATTTAACATTTTGAACTAGTGGAAGATGCCATCATTTCCTTTCAAGTGAGAATGATATACCTATACAGAGATGCCATCATTTCCTCTCAATTTTAGTCATGTTGTTGCAACTTTGTAAGGTAAGAGAAGTTCTTCTGATGACAGGAAAAATGTGGAAAAGTTTAGGACTTTTCATTTAGAATAGTAGTATCTGATCAAAGATTTTTCATCCCCAGCTATAACCTAATAAAATAAAAGGAGAGGCTGAAGCTTAAATCAATATTTTTATTTATTTATTTATTTGTTTGTTTTTGGAATTAGAAGGGACATGGGAGGTAGAGAGGAGAGAGTATATCAAGTTCACATGGAAAAGGGAATCTGTGCTACCTTTTCTTTAGAGAATTCTTGCTCAATCAATTTTATATTGTTTTAGAGCAAGAGAGCATCCTAAAAATTTGTGACTGTTTCAGGAAATTTAATTCTCAATTGTTCAAGAAGGCAGGTTCCTGGTCCTGCACTGCTACTTGGGGTTAAGTGGTGGTCATCAGTATTTTTGAGTGATAGTTCTTTCATTGCAGAGATAAGATTCCCAAACATGAAAGATATCAATGGTCCTAATAAGGTCCTAGATGAATGTAATTAAGGTGATGCTTCATTGAACTTCATATTAGTATAGCAAAGGACCCAAACAACCAATGACTAGCTAGGCGTTTCTATCATGCTTTCTCTTTAAATTTGTTTGATAAGCCCCTGTTTAAGGGATCATCAATGGGTCACAAATATGTCATATCCAGTGTTTTAGGCACAACATAAGGAGGTACCAATATGCTGATCTTCCCCCAATTGAGGTATTGTCAGTTTGATTATATATTCTTCAATTACCCCCTACAGTGATGCATTTCCAGTTTAGAGAGAGAGAGAGAGAGATTATAAAGTGGAAGTTGAAGGTAAGTATTTCATAAATTTTGTTACTATTTCTCTCAAAAACGTGGCCTTAGTGACCAGAGCATAGTAGCTGTCAAAGTGATCTATTTATTTGCAAGTTCTCACATCTGTCTGTGAGTGGCTTTTGCTTTATAAATTGCTTCTAGTTAAGCTTTCTCTCTTTCTTTGTGACAAAAATAGTAGCTTGTGTGAGTGGTCTTTTCCATTACTTATGGATGAGTACGACACCTAGTGGAGGAGACAGGAAAACCATGATTCATGTTGAAGCTCAACAAGTGCCCTATACCAACCATTTCCACCACAAACCTCTATGCCAAATTCGATTCTACCCATCAATATTTTTCCCTTGTACCACTTTTCTATTCTTTTTTCTCTTGGGATTCTCAAGTCAAACAACCCTTTAGTAGTATATGTATAAAGCCGAACCCTTCCACTTCACAAATACAAAGAAGACAGAAGGAACCAAATTTCCTCTTTTTTTTTTCTGTGTTATCTGTGTTATCTGTGTTGTACTGATGGTGGACTCTGAAGATGTTGCATCAGCTCCTTCTACTCCTGCAACTCCAGGCACACCTGGGGCTCCTCTCTTTGGTGGGTTCAAGGCAGATAGAAGTAGGAACACTAGAAAATCCCTTCTTCAGAGCTGCAGGTGTTTCAGTGTAGAAGCATGGGCCATGGAAGAAGGAAGCTTGGGTGGTGTCAGCTGTTCAATACCTCCTCCTCTAGTCTCTCTTGCAAGAAAGGTAAGAGAGGAGCCCCACACAAACACAGAAGCTCTTTTATCAAAAACTTGATCAAAAGTTATAACTAATGAAGACTGACTCATTCTAAATTCCACTACTGTGGAGATGAACCCAGGTAGGAGCAGAGTTCATAGGCACGTTCATACTCATCTTTGCAGGAACAGCCACCGGCATTGTAAACCAGAAGACACAGGGATCGGAGACACTCCTCGGCCTTGCGGCCTCCACAGGCCTCGCCGTGATGATAGTCATACTTTCGACTGGTCACATCTCCGGCGCCCATCTCAACCCGGCTGTCACCATTGCCTTTGCAGCACTGAGACACTTTCCATGGAAACATGTATTGTAGTAGCTAGTTAGCACAGCTCTGTGTTTCTGGTTCCTTGTGGAAAGTTTTCTGGAGTTATAAATGTTTATTTTGGCAGGTACCCATGTTCATAGCAGCACAGGTGATGGCATCTCTGTGCGCTGCATTTGCACTCAAGGGGATTTTCCACCCCATCATGGGAGCTGGAGTCACCATTCCTTCTGGGGGCTACGGCCAGGCCTTTGCTTTAGAGCTCATCATCTCCTTCAACCTCATGTTCGTTGTTACAGCTGTGGCCACTGATACAAGAGCTGTAAGTGTGCTGAAAACTGAAATTGAGAAGAGAGAGAGGGAGGAGGGAGGGAGAGAGAGAGAGAGCTTTTTTCTTTTGCTTTTTCTTGGAAACTTCTGTGCTGTTGTGCTGTTTTCAATGGTTCTTCATACATGCAGGTGGGAGAGCTCGCAGGAATTGCAGTTGGAGCAACTGTCATGCTCAACATACTGATTGCAGGGTATATCACAAGTTTCCAATTTACACTTCTGGTTTCAATAAATCTTCTACAGTTCTTCATGCATAAGAATGGAACTCTTTACGCTACAACCCTGAACCCCTCACTGTGATGAGTTAGAACTTGGAAATCCTCTACAGTTCTACGTAATATTGGAAATCAGCTTCATACACGTAGGCCAATATCATGATTGGCCCAGTATCCTCCGGTTCCCACCTCCCAATTCCCATAGAAGATCCGGAGTTCCTCAGTATTCCGCTTGGAGTATTCTAATTCTATGCAGCAGGCCTCTGCTAAGTATGTGGTTCTGGTTCTGATCAATGATGTCAGACCGGGACCCAGAAGGATCATCACCATCACCGGTTCAACCATTCAATTCGGTCTGTCTGACAGACTGGTTCTCATCCTCCAATGAGATCCAATCAGTAAACATCAACCACTGGGAAGCGACTTTGGTTGCTCTGAACTCTGGATATCAGTTTTGTCATTCACCCATATGTGGCTGACAGAGGTTCAGAGATCCATCAAGAGAACATGGATAAGACGACTCATTTAATAACTTTGAACAGATCATTCTAAAAATCTGTGTCAGTGATTTTAATTCCCATGTTGCAGAGTTTTCTCCTTGATTCCCGTTTTCATATTTTGGTACAGGGAGACAACTGGAGCTTCCATGAACCCAGTGAGAACTCTGGGGCCAGCCATAGCTGCAAACAACTACAAGGCCATCTGGGTCTACCTCACAGCCCCCATCCTTGGGGCACTATGTGGGGCAGGTGCTTACTCTGCTGTCAAGTTGCCGGAAGACAGTGACACCCAGGATAAGCCAGCAGCTGCCCGGAGCCTGAGGAGATGACCAGAGAATGCAATCTGTATAAGTTGTACACTTATAACTGAGATAAGAAAGATGCCATAAGATGAATTCACCAGAGACAGAACAAAAGATAAAAATGTCCACTTTGGTAGAATACTTGTCTACTGTAGAATTATAGATCTTAGTAGACAGGAGAAGAAAGGGAGACAGTGATTTTAGAGTTGATCCTTGTTAGATGGTAACTCTAGTTAGATTTACTGATCAAGTTGGGCAGAGGTTGAGAAGTGATGAATTTGGAAAAGAATAAAGTGGTGATAAGTTTTTATTCTCTTTCTTCTTTTCTTTCTTTCTTTCTTTATCATGTAAATTTAGGATGTGTTTGGTTTGAAAGAAAAGGGAGGGACAGCAAGAGAAAGGTAATCCCTCCCTTTCCCCCTCTGTTTCAAATCAAGCACATCTGTAGGGAATTAGCAGTTTTGTAAATAACATGGGTTTTGTTTCTATGTAGTTTATTGTTGTACTGAAATTGTAATCAATATGTACTATGAGATCTGATTTATTTTATATTTTGGGGTTATGAGAAATGGTTCTTTTGTCAAAGTATTAGACTTTGGACGGTGGCAGAGCTGTATGAGCAAGATGCTTATGAAATTTAAAACGGAGAATCTCCCTATTTAAAATGGAAACAACGAATGGATCATATTTAGAGTGAGAGAGAGAGAGAGCAGGGTTCCTTGTCAGAAATCCCCACTTCCCCGGTATTCCTTTTGTCAGCTTATCAATACCTTACATTTGGACAAAGGAAGTACCAACGAAATGAGAAAACTTAGGCTATTTGAACAAAAATAAATACTACAGCTTGAGCTGTTTTAAAGCTTCATGTACATACACCTTAGCCTGGTGGTTGTGGGGTAAGGAGAGAGGGGAGTTGAAGGTCCCCTCACCACAGTGTTCATACATATCTCCTCCTCTCATTCTTAACAAATGTAATTAGTTATTTTTTAAATTAAATCATTAAAAATCAAAATTTCCCTTCTGGTCTTAATGGTCTCTAATAAAATCTATCCACTACTTAAATAAAAACCCTAGCCTCTTAAGTCTTTATTGTTTCTTAATTTTTTTGGGTTAGTTGCTGAAACCTCTCCTGAAGTTTCTAGCCGTTGCTGAAACCTCTCCTAAAGTTTGGTAATTGTAATTATATTCTCTGAACTTTCTAACACGGTTACAAAATAGACCCCCTCTATTAAAATCTTCTAACAAGGGGTACAAAAATGTCCAAAATACCCATGCAATTATTATGAGGCTGGTTTTTAGAAAAAAAAAACAATACAAACTTTATAAAGAAAATTTGGTAAACAAATAAAATTCAAAAAAAACGAAAGGGTTTTAGCTGGCGATTCATATGAAAGAAAATTTGGAAAATAAACATTTTAGTCAAAAGCAATTGCATGGGTATTTTGGATATTTTATGTCTCTTTTCACAAGAATCTAACAAAGGGAGTCTAATTGCAACTATGTCAGAAAGTTTATGGAGAGGTGATTGCAATTCTCAAACTTTAAAAAATGTTTTAGCAACAACCAAAAACTTCGAGGGAGGTTTTAGCAATTTATCCTTTTTTGGTATTTGTTGATAACTGCAAATCCTCCAAGGGGACATTTGAGTAGTGCACCACATTTATGCAGGATTTGGATCCATCTCCCTATAGAACAAACCAACTAATGTACTTTTTTTTTAAGGCAAACAAGCCTGTCATCAGAGTGATGACAGCTTACTTTCATCAAGAAACTTGCTGAATATTACAATTTGAAGACAAAGTATCAATAAGAAATTCAGGGGGCAAAGACCAAGGACCCGTTTGGCGTGTCTTTTTGCACAGGCTGCCGGCTTTTTAGAAGCCTGGCAGCTTGCATTTTGGTCTTTTCCTATTTGGTTGGAAAAAGATCTAGCTGCTGAAAGCCGCAGCCCTTAAAAGACACAGGAACCCCATTTCGGGCTATTTTCGGGAAACTCGAAAAGGAGCTTTTCACCTTTTTTTTTTCAATTCATCTTTGCGCGGAAAGATACACGAACATATGCACCTTAACCAAACGGTCTTCAAGCTGTTAAGATCTTGATGCAAAAGCTCACATCGTCTTTTGACTGTCAAACAATAAATCTTTCAAAAAAGACTTGCCAAATGACTCCTTAATAAAAAGAGAAGAAACAGAAAGCGCATGTTTGGCCGATTTGTGTGCTGCATGGTTCAGCTAATACCTATTGAGCCGCCCCCTCCATTGGCAAGTCTAATAATTATAATTAATACTTATATTAATTAATATAATTATATTATTATTATAATTAATTATTACTAATAATAATGATTTCTGATAAAAATTAATTATTAATTATAATTACTTACTGATAATTAATTCCTTAATTATAACAATGATAATTATTACTTCACAATGCTAATTAATTAATGATATTTAATAAGTATTTTAATAATGTTAATTATTAATTGGGATATAATCATTTTATTTTGATATTAATTCATATTAGTTATTTTGTAAATATATAATTAGTGTTACTTATTTACATTATTATTATTATAAGTAATTATAATTAATACCATTATTATTCTTCAATAAATATTTCATTTAGTGAAAGTTAAATTATAAACTTTCAGTTATTCATTATTGTTAAACTAAAAGAATTATAAAAGCAATTACTATTTTAGGAATTAACTAAAAATCATAATTATAACAAATTAATTACTTCATAATAAAAATAAATAATAATAATTTAATATTACTTATTTCAAAATCAATACACACATAATAAGAATATAATATTAGTAAATAATAATAATTATATACTTATTATTATTACCGATTCCATATTTATTAATATATTATTACTCTATATTACTCAATAAAGGCATGGAATAAAAAAAAATCAAATTACCACTAAATGAATGAACTAAAAATCCATAAGTATTCTAATTGACTTGAATTTGACACATCAACATGCCTAAAATTATAATTTCAACCTACATTTCCTATTTCTATCTTCCAAATCCCATAATTCAAACATACCATTAGGTTATGTACATGTTTCCCTACTTTTTTCCTAAAGATAAATTCTAGCCAGTCTACATGCACTGTGGGGAGCTTAGACTTAAAATCAATAACCATGATTAAGCAAAAGAAGTGTTACCACCTACCTTGGAGGTGACTTTCATACTTTGGATGGCACCATTATTCTCTTTTCTTTCATGTTTCCTCTGTTGGATGGGCTTTGGAGTCCTGATTATATTATCAGTTGATTGTAGCCATACATGATGATGATTTGATTGTAGTCATATATTTTTCATCTCTTGCTTTAGATGATGGATGCATCTGCAAATGTTGTTTGGCATTGATTGTTTTTCTTAGCAACTCTTTGAATGGATATCATTCAAATGCTTTTTATCCATTCATATGTCCCTAAATATTAAGCAGTATTGGTGATATTGTTGTAAGCATCCATATAATTTTACTATTTTTTAAATAGATTAATGATTTCAAACTTATTGATAATTTTTTGGGGGTGGGTTGCTCAACTGGACATTGATTTTTTATTGTTAAATAGTAAATTTCAAATTAAATGATACTATAGTTGCCCCTTACTTAGTATGAGGTCATTGTCTAGATAAAACATGGTAAGTCTCTTAAATCAAATAAAGAGCCTACCCTAAATGTCTATTATAAATAATTA